TGACAGGACAGAGCTGGGGTAGGGGGCAGAGGTGGGCGTGGCTATGACAGGACAGAGCTGAGGTGGGTAGGGGTGGGCGTGGCTATGACAGGACAGGGAGTCAGGTGAACAGGGGTGGGCGTGGCTATGATAGGACAGAGCTGAAGTGGACTGGAGTGTGCGTGGCTCTGACAGGACAGGGAGTCTGGGGGCAGAGGTGGGTGTGGCTATCACAGGACAAGGAGCTCAGGTGGGCAGGGTTGGGCATGGCTATGAAAGGACAGGGAGTCAGGTGGACAGGAATGGGCGTGGCTCTTACAGGACAGAGTCAGGTGGGCAGAGTGGGCGTGGCTATGACAGGACAGGGAGCTCAGGTAGGCAGGGTGGGAGAGGCTCTGACAGGACAGGAGTCAGGTGGGCACGGGAGGCTTTGATGGGATAGGGAGAGCTTTGTGCTGAAGAAACAGTTCTCTCTGGTAGCAATAACGGTTACATCGTGCTGTAAATGTGATAACATGACAGCGATCTTGCACACACCCTCCTCATACTGACTTCTTGTGTTTGATGTGTTCCCATCAAGTGAGACACAACCATGAGGGAAAAGTAGATCAAAGGCACACAGGTGATTGACCTCTCTGTGCTGTTTTTGAACTTTGTATGAATCTGCATCACAGCCAACCCACCAGCAAGACTCACGGGACTGAGCCCAGGTCACCTCCTGCCTGCCTCTGCACCCCATCTCCTCTGGTTGGCTTCCAGTATCTCCAACCTGCTTCCCTGCCACCCCTGGCCAGACAGCAGGATGCGAGTCTAGCTCAGGCAGGGCCACTAGGCCACAGTGATCGTCCTGATGACCTCAGCTCCCCAGACACACCCCAAAGGAAGTACCAGGACTCATCCCTATGACCGGAATGCCTTGGGGTTCCACCTGGGAGAGCCTCTGACCCTTTCCACCCCAGGGGAAGCCAGAGGGAAGAGTGGCTTGGAGCCCAGGCTGGCTCAGCATGCCCTGGAAGCCCTTCCCAGGCCTGCCCACTTCCCCAGTCTCTCACCTCTGTCATCTGAGGTCTCCTTGTCTCTGACGCAGCCACGACGCTGCCGCTGACGTGGCATTTTGTGCACCGCAGGCAGAGCTCCTGGGAAGAGGGCTGAGGAGCAGGTGGCCTGAGCTGGAATTCTGCACTCACGCAGCAGCTGGGGCCCTCAGGCAGGAGATGTCACCTCCCCAAGTCTTCTAAGTGTCAGCAGGGCCTCCCCCTAGAAAATCAACCAGCTGATTTGTGGAGAGCACTTGGCAGAGACAGGGTCATGGACTGCAGGGCCTGGGACTTGGAGAGGGTCTCTTCTCTCTAAGCAAAAGGTGGAAAAAATGTGTGAATGCTGCTGACACCCAGATGAAGTAATTCTTGTCAGACTCAGACAGAGTGAGAGCCAGGAAGTTACCGAGAACTCTTCAAGGCCCTGGCCAGGGAAGTACTGAGGTAAGTACTTTCTAGAGGACTTCCTAAAGCCCACAAGAAATTTCCTCTTGCTGTACACATACCCCATGCATTGCAAGCCTTGCCCAAATGCACAGAATTCCATAACCAAGTTCATCTTTAACAGCCTAAGATGCTCTGGACAGAACACTTGCTCACAATGGCACCTCCACCAACGAGATACAGCCAACTCTCACCTCAGGTCTCTGACCAAGGCACTCTGTATCCCAGTAGCTCATGTAAAGTTCTCCCTTTTCTGCTTATAAAAATTCCCCTTGCTTCAACCTTTAATATGTCCACAAGTCACTGTTGGCAGATGCCTTCCTTCTGCAGTGTGCTGCAATTCCCAAACAAATGCCATTATCTTTGGAGACTCTCAGATTGTTATTAAGCTGACAATTATGCATGTAATCTGGCTCTGAAGGGGAAACTCATTTTACTGCACATCAAATCATCCTCTAGTGCCTAGAATATAGCCAGTGCTCAGTGAAGGCAGCTCTTAGTGAGCATTCAAATTCCCGTCTTTCTGACCCTGTTCTACAGTGATGATGTTGGTTGGGGTATGCTCAGTGGTAGAGCTCTTGTCAAGCATTCACAGGACCCTGGGTTACATTCCTGGAGCCACAAGCAAACAAACAAAACAGACTTAAGAAACTAAAGTGACAGACAACATAGTAGCTCAGAACAAGACACTGCAGACTTAAGAGGCTCAACTTCAGACCCAGTTCTGTTCCCGCTATGTTTTGAATGTGGTTTGTCCTCCCCAAACTCATGCAGGATTTTTTTTTTGCACAATACCTTTATTTTATTTATTTATTTTTATGTGGTGCTGAGGATCAAATCCAGTGCTTCACATTTGCTAGGCAAGTGCTCTCCCACTGAGCCCCAGCCCCAGCCCTCATGCAGGATTTTGAGCCTCAAAGTCTTAGGGTAATTATATCAAGAGAGTAGAAACTTAAGCTGACCATAATGTTTAATGATAAGTCCTTTGGGAAGTGATTAGAAGATTAGGTCATTAGGTTGGAGCCCCTAAGATTGAGCCCTTTTCAAGGGGAGGGAGAGAGACCACACAGAGACACACAGGCATTCCAAACATGATCCATGCAGCCAAGGGGGCTTCCCAAGAGGTGCACCATGCTTTTGGGATGTCCCCCTCCCCAACTCTGGGCCAAAATGAGCCTCTTTGCTGTATCGTCGACTCTAGGTGTTTTACTATGATAAAGGAAAAGGGGCTGATCAGGTTCTTCACGTGGACCTGGGGCAAATGACCCTGCTACATTTGCCTGGGTGCCTCCCACTCTGAAGCGGGGTGTTATATGACTCCGCAGGACCACCATGAGGACGGAAGGGCCAGTCCATGTGGCCCCTGATGCACTGCTTGGGGGAGGAGCCGTCCTGCAACAAAGCTGGGTGTTGGAAAGCTCAGATGGGAGTGCTCTGCCACCATCATCACGGTGGCAAGGTCTGTCTGGAAGGGAAGGGGGATGGTTCCCAGCCTACCACTCACTAGATGAGAGACCTCTGGGACTGAGTTACCAGATTAAGTAAATAAAAATAGAAGGTCCACACTGAAAACAACTTTCAGATTAAAGATGCATAGTTTTCAAGGGTAGGTATATCCCTGTTAGTGCCTGGGACACACCTATGCAAAAGAACTATTTTTAAAATGTATTTAATAAGTTACTTTTAAGTAGAGGTATGTCCTATATATGCAATATTTGATAATTACTAAAAAGCAATTTTTGTTTGTCTGAAATTCAAATTAAAGTAGGTGTTCTGTACTTTGCTCAGTGATCTGAATACTGGGTTGGTCATTGAACCCTCTATACATACTTTAGCTTTCCACTCCATAGAAACGAGAACCAAAATGACTAAATATGAAGACTGAACGTCTGCATGCCTGTCAAAGAATTCACAGTGCCTACAGCAGAGAAAGGCAGAGGAACGGCTGGCTTCACTTTCATTGTTAGCGGGGCTGAGCGTCAAGGGGTCTCTTCCTCCACTCGGTCCCCAGCTTCCCTGCACCATGTCCCCATCACTGAGGTCTTCACCTGGGTCTCACATGATTGTCCTCCAACCCACCCCATCTAGTCACCAGAGAAAAGCAAATTGCTGTTGAAGAAAAAGATGTGTAGGTCACACAGCTTCATACTGAAATGAGGGACCCCTGGCCAGAGACCCCTGGCCAGGTGGTTACAGGTCAAGGGCTAGGCTTGGCAGGAAGGCCATGCACTCCCACACATGAGCCTCCCCAGACTGCGCACTCTCCGACTCACGGCTGACTTTGACAAACTCACAGGCACTTCCCATTGCCCCACAGGTCCTTTTAAAAAGTCACGGAGACCCACTGGCAGACCCTCACACATGTGCAAACACAGCTTCAAACTTAGGGGAATCCCAGACTGTTGGACACACATTTTCAGATAATGACCAGGCACACCTGGGCACACAGACACATACATCCTGACATACACTCCAGGGAAACTGAGAACCCACTTGCTCAAGCTGGACCTGTCGGTGAGCGCCCAGATCCCTCCACACACATGCAGGCACAGACATGCACACAGCCCATCTGCAGACGGACATCCTGGAACTTCAAGTCATCCCCCAAACGCAGACCCTTGGACAGCATCCCCTGTCTGTCCCCTCAGGGGCGGCTCACTGCACTGGAGCACAGCCACTGCAGAGCCCCAAGCCCATCCAAGCCCCTCACCCACAGCACTTCATAGGAGTCCTGCCTAGCCAGAACATTTCCTGAGGGCTCCCAGCTCCATGCTCCCCAAAGTATCCTCAGTCTCCCCCCAAATCATCTTCTTGTGCCCCCATCAGGGAAAGGGGATAACTGGCCTCTTTGGTCCCCAACTGATCTGTCCAGCGTCCTGGAAGATTTCCTCCATCCATCCCCCACCAGACTGGCGGTTCCCAGACCCGACCTTCCTGCTCCTAGATCCCTCCTGACCCGGCCAGGCTGCCTGTCCTGGAGGAAGCACCACGTCCTCCTTGGGCCGGTCCCCGTCTCCTCAGTCTCTTCTCTCTCCTGGTGTCCAGGGACATCAGGGGACCGAGTCGTCCCGCGGCTCAGAAACGCCTGTGAGCGGCTAGTCGCGTCGGGGGAGGCTGGGGTCCCTAACACGGCGCGGCAGTGGCTGGCTGCAGCCCTCGCGCCCGCCGCGGCGTTCAGCAGACACAAGCAGGGCGGCGGTCCGACACGCCGCCACCCGTTCCCGCCGCGCCCAGCCACGGGGCCGTCCTCGGGCTGGGGGCTGTCCTTGGGGCCGGGAACTGTCCACGGGGGCTGTCCTTGGGCTGGGGGCTGTCCTTGGGGCTGGGGGCTGTCCTTGTGGCCGGGAGCTGTCCATGGGGGGCCGTCCTCTCGGTCTGGGGGCTGTCCTTGGGTCCGGGAGCTGTCCACAGGGGCCGTCCTCGGGCTGGGGCTGTCCTTGGGGCCAGAAGCTGTCCTGGGGGCCATCCTCAGGCCAGGCCGTCCTCGGCCTGGTGCCTTCCTGAGGGACAGTGGGCTTTCCTTAGGGCGGGGGGCGTAGGGGAGGCAGTCCTCAAGATTGGGGGGCTTCCACAGGGGCCTTCCTAGGGCCGGGGGCTACCTAGGGGGCCACCCTCAGGTTCAAGGCTGTCCTGGGGGCTGTCATGGGTGGGTCAGGGCTGTTCTGAGCGTGGGTCGGGAGCTGGGTCCCAGGTTGTGTTTGGAGGAGTCGAGCTGTCTTGGGACTGTGGTGGGGCTCGGGTCGCTCCGCGGCGCCGTGCTTTCTTGGGGGCTGACCGCCAGCAAGGCTGTGCGGTCTGGACGTGAGCAACCTCAGCCTAGCCGGCACGCACGCGCACTCACAGAAGCAACACCGTCGTGCCGGCGTGCAAGCGGACTCGTGCCACGCAGGCCTGCGACGCGGCACACACGCGTGACCACGCAGACCCGCACACCCTCATGGTCCCACGACGCCCATGCACTCGCGCACTCCGAAGGCACACCACCACTCCAGACGCACACCACCAGACGCACACCACCAGGCTCACGGCGGGGCGGCCCGCAGCCGCGTCGTCGGGCGCGCGCGCACTCGCTCGCGCGCGGCCCGCTCTCCCGCGCACGTCCTGCGAGGCGGTGGCGCGCGTCTGCGCCCGGGCCCGTCGGGCCGTCGCCGGGAGAGACGTGCTAGCTCAGTTGCGGGACTCGCTCGCAGCGCACAGGCCGTCTGGCCGCACGCGCCGCATAAGGGACGCGGGCAGGCGCGCGGGCCCCGCCCCGCGAGGGACCCAGCCACCCGGACCCCACCGTGGAGCCCGACGGCCGTGCCAGAAGGCAGTGCGTTCTCCCGTGGAGGACTACAAGTCCCAGAAGGCCGCGCGCCCGCCTGTGGAGGACCACAAG